GCCCAAATAAAGGAGATATGTAATCTCATGAGGATTCCTTTTTGTAGATATTGAAGTCTTATTTAGGCACATAAACAGATACCAAGGGAAATGAAAACACGTGGTTCAGTGAAGAGACTCTATTCGGCGAATTCATCTTTCTCTTTAGCTGCAAAATCGCATTTATATTTAGTAAGTGATAAGGGATGACTTGTCACAAGCACAGTTGTTAATATTAATCAGTGGATTATTATATTATTATTATTGTTCCCTTGGATTCCCAATGGAATATAGGGCTTTAACTGCACGTCTCCACTTGCTTCTGTCTTCTGCTGTACTTTTCACCTGCATCCATGTTAGTCCATGCTGTTTCAGCTCCTCTTCACACGATCTCTTCCATGTCACCCTTGGACGTCCCTCCGCCGCTTCCCTTTCGGGTTCCACTCGAGCTATGGCCTGACGCAAGATATCACCCAGCGGCCTCCTCAGCGAGTGTCCAATCCATCTCCACTTTCTCCTGCATATTTGTTGAGCGACTGGTTCTTGTTTTGTTTGTTCCCATATTTTCTTGTTGGTGATTCTTTCCGGCCATCTGATCTTGAGTATAGAGCGAAGACAGTTGTTGATAAAGGTTTGCAGCAGGCTGTTGGAAATATTCTTGGTGACCCACCAAGTTTCAGATCCGTATAGAAGAAGTGACTTGACGTTGGTATTGAAAATCCGAATTTTGTTGTTGATGGTGAGTGACGAAGATTTCTTGATTGGTTTCAGGTTGATGAATGTGTTTCTCGCCTTCCTAATTCTCGATTCGACATCCTCGTCCGTTCCTCCTTTGGTTGAGACAATGCTCCCTAGATAAACGAATGAAGTAAGTCAGTGGATGAGAGGAGCCAAATATTGCAGTGTATTGCAGTTACGTAATAAGATGAACAACTTACTGAGTGAGTTGTAATCATGATGAACATTAAAAACAAAGAAAACTATAAGAGAATGGTGTAAACGGCGAAGAAAAAATTTCTTTTCGACGATTCTTTTTTATAAGCTGTACAATCGTAATTATATACTTTCTATAGTATGTTTGTAAGGATTTGATTTGCCTAAACGAGTTGATCATGGATTGATATCAGTTAGAGAACCACTGAAACCAGTACTGGAGTATTGGACAGCTATTTCAGCCTGCTTTGGGAATCATCGGCAGTACGCACCCACTGGGTGGGTGTCAGTAGCTGAATGGTATACGAGCTTGTCTTGTAACCGGCAGGTCCTGGGTCCGAACCGTGGTGATGAGTGCCTACTGTTGATGATTTTCAAACTGGGATGAAACAGATGTCCAGTACTCCCTGGTTTTCAATTGTTCTCTAACTGATATTAATCTGTGATCAACTCGTGTAATTATACACAACGAAGAATTTATAAAAGACCAGTCAGATACTGGCAAAGTTGTTCTAGAGAATGTATTACATGATTCAAGGTGTAATCAAGAAGGGAATGACTGATTGGAAATTAGAAAAAGGAACAGAGGTTGGGATGACGCAACAAGTATGAAAAAATGATTAATCGGTATAACTTTGTTGTGTGAGAAGACTTTGCAGATTAGTTTCAAGGAGGCGTTTGTTCAGATGGAGTAACCAGTGTTGACAAGGTGTTCAACCACTGCACTTCTTATAGAGCCACTACTACTTGAACCCTTTTAGACAGAATACGTATCGAACGACTAGTATAACTGGCTACACAAAAAAAAGGGGAACTGTTGCTCATTTTTCCGATCAGCGGGAAATCATAAACATGAATACACAGTTCCAAATGACACCCATTGCACAAGAAGTGGCGCACTAGCCTAGGGGATCTCTAAAGCGATGGGTTCTCAATTTAAGTCTCACTGTGAACAATATGACCCACAAGTGTACTCAATAAGCGAGTCCTAAACAGTACGGGATATGTGTCCTCGATCCCGCTCCCAGCCACATTAAACAAGTGACTCAGAGTTGTGGTCCATGGCATTTTTTCTAGGTGTTCATTTACCGAAATGGCTGGAATTCATTCGATTCACATACAACAGCAGATAACCCTTAGTATGAACAAATCCTACGAAATCAAGTCTGAGCACTGGTCAATATCATTAAGTGAACCACTGAAACCAATAGGTGCCTACAACGTGCTTCTTCCTAGTTTGGAACTCTCCACAAGTACGCAGCACTTGCTCTATTTTTGGATAATGCCATGGACCTTGAAGTCATGAAATGAGCCCATTAATCATTCAGCCATTGGTACGAAGTTCAATAGCTCATTACGTCTAACTTCAGCCGATTCGCGATATGTAGTGCGACAACAAAACAATGTTATCGTTTAGTAATTTTCCTCATAACTGACTTGGTGACTACCCACCGAAATTCCAGGCAACTTTGTCTTGTAGTCAGTCACTAGTAAGCATCAGATTAATTTTCGGGAGTCGCTTTGTAGGACTTTGCTTGGTTTCAATTTTGGTCAATGATCCGTATAATTTGGTGAAGTATTGGAAACCAGAGTGTACTGGATAGACATTTCGTCTTTTTCAGGCTCTTCAGTAGAAAGGCAAACATGGTAACAGAGAGAATCGATTCTAAGTCAATAAGTATGTCTTATGGAAATTCGGCGAACGCTGTGATTCCCGAAGGTTTCTTGACCTTAATTGCAAACCTGCCATTATCCCTCTTGATATAATTTTCAGCTCCAACCTCACAGCAAATGATGCTTTCGAAATTCTGCATTGATGAATTAAACTTGTATTATTACTGATCTTTTTGTTCACCTGCTACTCAACGTTTTACCTGTATGGAGTGTCTTTTATTAGGAAGTAAGTCTGATTTACGTTAAGATCTCTGTTAACTCCAGTTTAACACATAGTTGATATCATTACTTGCTTGCGTCTGTGTATGCTTTAACACGATGAAATATACCGTAGAGATAATGTTGGCTTTGATTTCATTCGCCACTCAATCTGTTAGTCAAAGCAATTTGGGCACTTCAGCTACCACAGAGTGCGTACTAATGAAGAGTCCCAGATTGGGACGAAATATCTGTTCAGTACTCTCAGGTTTCCCAATGGTTCTCCAACTGATGTCAGCTCGCGAGGAAATCCTCCAATCAATCAAACACAATGTCAACAAAATCAACACTTCCAAATTTTAATGTTAAATAGTTCCTGTTGTAATCGATTATTTGTTCTGTGATCAGCAGTCTTCTCAGCATGTGTTTGATCCATTTGGTATGTCTGCTAAATAGTAGATTCTTGTCTAGTTCGCTAATGCTGAAAGAGTTCCGTGTTGCTGATCGTTGCTAAATAGGTACTTGATTTTCCGTACAGAGCCATAGAACGCAGCTTCTATTGGGGATTTTCAGTAACAAGTTAGAAATACTTTTGGTGAAATACCGATTCTCTGAACTGTATTAGCATTTTCCTAAGTCTACACACTACTGATTGTTTGCAATCAGTAGTTTGATGCCACTCAAGCCAACCGGCAGTATTCAAATGTTGGTTTGTAGGGATTTGATTGATTGGTTGCAGGATTTCATCATGAGCTGATAACAGTTAGAGAACCTTTGAAATACCTCCAGAGGGTACTGCACAGGCATTTCGTCAGCCTACTTTGGGACTCTTCATCAGTAACCACCCACCGCCATGGTTCAAACCCACGACTTTCTGGTTACAAGGTGAGCTAGGTCGTAGACCATTAAGTCACTGGGACCCGATCCAATGGCTAGTCCATGAATTCTAACTTCTGCGGATTCATGACTTAGCGCACTCACTTCGCAGTGTCTTCTTCGACGAGTTACTGCCTCACCTTCAACCTGCTGCACCCTACTGGTTACGGCTTCCCGTTGGGACAAAAAAGATGTTTAGTACTCCTAATAGATTTCAGCTTATGATGAAATCCTCCAAACAACTCTTATAACCCTGAGATGTTGTTGGATGAATCGAAGAGATCGGCAGAAATTCTTGCCTTACCCAGCTTTTGCGATTTTTGGCTCTTGTCAACTAGGCGTGTATGCAGTTTTGAAGGGACTTTTGTCCCTTTTGAGTTTCGAGCCCACATCACCTATTGTTGAAGTCAGAGGTGTTACCACTGAGCTTTGTGGGCTCACAGTTTAACCCCTGTAGGACTATGAAGGATATTTTGATAGAACATACGGCAGTAACATATGTTGTGCGACTAATTCTTATTGTTAATGCAGACTGAATCCTATTAGTCAGGTTTGCTGAGATATGCCATGTTTATGAGTGTCAAAAAGTGTGCAACCTAAGTCTATAGTTTTCTATCGATCGTCTAAAATCATCAAACAACAACTATAAGTTTACTGCTAGGACCATCCATCGATTATGATGGCCTTATTATGAACGTGACTGATAGAATTCTCTCTGCACCAAACACCAAGTACTAGACTCATGATATTAGTCACTACCAATTATCC